CATTCAGTCACATTATCTTTGACAAAGAGGCCAAATATGTTCACTGGAAGAAAGATAGCCTCATTAATAAATGGTGCTGGAAAAACTGGCTTTCCACATGCCGCATGTTAAAATTAGGCCCATGTCTATCACTATGCACATAACTGCTTCAAAATGGATCAAAGATTTAAACATTAAAACAAACATTAAATCTCCTGGAAGAGAACATAGGCAGAAATCTTAAAGTCATAAGGGTTAGGAAGAGTTTATGAACAAAAATAAAACTGCACAGGAAATACTTCAAAGAATCAACTGGCATCTCATCTGTTTGAAAAAATTCTGCATGTCAAAAGAAATCACAGGGGGCCTTGAGCATTAGCTCAGTTGTTTAAGCACCTGTTTGGGCAAACCCAGTCAGGTTCAGGGGACTGTGGTTCAATCCCCAGCTGCACATTCCTTACCATCCCTTAATGCAGCCTGAGCCAGGAAAAATAAATCTTAAAAGAAATCACCAAGAGAGTGAAAAGAAAACCATGAATTGGGAAAAAAATTACATATGACTGTTCCTCAGACAAAGAACTTCTTATCCAGAACATATAAAGAATTTTAAAATATCAGGCTTACAAAATTCAAAGCCCCAATCCAATAATGGGCATCTGAAATGTACACTTCAAAAATGAGAAAATACAAATAAATGGCAAAATAAATATATGAAAAACGTTCAACATCATTGGTCATTCAGGAGATGCGAATTAAAACAATACTGAGATACCACCTTACGTGTCTAACAATGACTATCATCATGAAGCCAACCAACTACAAATGCTGGAGGGAGTGTGGGAAAAAAGAAACCTTTCTCCACTTTTGGTGAGACTGCAGGCTGATGCAACCACCATGGAAGTCAATGTGGAGATTTCTCAAAAAGCTACAATTGGAGGTCCCGTTCAACCTAGCTATTCCCTTCCTGTCTTTCCAGAAGAAATGAAAACATCACACCACAGTGATTTATGTGCCCCCGTGTTGATAGCAGCATAATCTGTCATAACTAAATCTTTGAAGCAACACAAATGCCCATCAACTGAGAAACGAATAAAGAAGATGTGGTATTTTTACACAAGCCAGTATTGTTCAGCTATAAAAGGCATAAATTTGAGGCTTTGTCTGTAAACGGATGCAACTAGAGACCATACTCTTAAGTAAATCAGAAACACATGTGCAAACATCATATTGTCTCACTAAAGTAAGAACCGGAAAAGAATAAAATCTGAAGAGTACAGCAGACACTGTGAAAAGGGAATGAACCTATTCAAAAGGAAGGAATTACAAAAGGAGGAGGACAGGACAGGACAGGGACTGTGGGAGCTATCTGTTTATAAGAAAGATGGTTTGGGTAGTTGTATGTGAATTTCTGCTGATCCATGGAAAGAAGCAGCTAATGCTTATTTTAGTTGTCTTTCGTTTTTCTTTTTCTCTCTTAATTTCTTATAACCTTTCTTTCTTTCTTTCTTCTTTCTTTTTCTTTCTTTCTTTCTCCAATTTTGCACACATATACCTGGTAATCTGAAGAACTAATTTGAAGAAAACACAATGCAGTACAAAAAATACTGTCAAGCTCACATTAGTTTGTTCAGTGAAATTTTGTATCATTTCTAATTTGTTATTTTGTATTCCCTTTAAAAAATAAAAAAAAGATGCAACAAAAAGGGCAATAGAAAAAGCAACCAGGCTCAGGTTGCTGTGGTTCCATCCCCACAACTCAAGCCAGCTAAACCTGCCCTGAAGGCATTCAGAGCAAAAATATATATACATATCCTTCTGCCTTTAAAAAAGAAAAAAGACAATAGACAAAAGTAATGTGGGATATGAGGTCCTGGGAAGATGACAGTTCTTGTGGCTTAAAGCCCGACTTCTCTGAACTGTCAACTGGTTGCTGGAAACATAACTTCAGGGGGCATGCAGGGAATGGATGAGGCCAAAAAGAGAAGAAGTGATCAAGACCTTGTGCAGATGGAACAAAGGCGTTCCAAGCAGTAAATCTTTCCCAGCGAGAGATCTGTTTCATCTCTAAGGGCAGCAGTTACTGCTCTGAGATTCCTTGTGAGAGTTAGTGCCTTCAGCTGTGGTGTTGTCCAGCTTTCAGCGCTGTCAGAGTCACAGGCCACTGAAGGCTTCTACCATGGCCACTGGCATGGAGAGCCATTTCTGCAGGCCAGGCTCTGCCTGAGCAACTAAGTCTCTCAGGCCTGGAACAGCCTCCCAAGTTAATACAGAAAGTCAGTTTATTAATTCTAAATCCATCTCGGTGCCGTCTCAGTGTGGCTTCTGTCCCTCCAGCACCTCCTTCTTGGTCGTAGTTCAAGCCCATGGATGTGGGAAAAGGCAGCTTCTCTTGCCCTGCCCTGTACCACTTCAGCTGCACGCTTACTGGCAAATGTTTCCTGCCCCAAACTTGCTTTTTAATAGCATGGTTCACCCACACACTTGCAAATATGATTCCTTAGCCTCATATTACAGATGACAAAACAGGATTGTGATTGACCCAGATCACCATGGGAGATGCGCCAACTTTCTAAAATGTTCTTTTTCTACTTGGATGGATGCTTTGTGGAAATTCAATCTTTTGAAACCCTTGCCTAGCTATTCAACTGATCCACCCATTATCTACCCATCCATCTGTGTGTTCATCTGTCCGTCAGTCCACTTTTGCAACTATTATCTATTGAGTACTCAAACTAACAAGCCTATTCTGCATCAGTATCTGGGAATTCAACAGAAAGCCAAACAAACTCATATTACTTATTATAGTCTATGGGAAAAAGACAGAGCACAACACATAGACAAGTACGTAGGTGTTACATGAGCTCAGGGTGAGTTCCATGAGGAAGAATAAAGCAGAGATGGGCGTGAAGCATGACTGTGGGTGGGGAGCACACTTTAGGAGCTGCCCTTTCAAACAGGATGTGCACAGAAGGACCCAGCACAATGTGAGGACTGAGTGGCTATCGGACAAATTGAGAGAATGATCACAGTGCAGACAGTCACAGCAAGTACTAAAGGGTGACCTGTGGCACTGTATGAAGAGGACCACAGCATTGAGCCCCGGGGGCTGTTGCACTGTACTAGAAAGTCAGGGATCATGGTGGTTCTCGGTTGGCTCTTCTTGCTCAGAGTGGCATCTTCCCCCTTTCCTTCTGAGGCCATGTGAATTCGTGGGTTGTTTTCTGTAGTTGTGTGTGGAGACATCCTCACATCTTTATTAGGCTTGTCTCACATCTGAGCATTGATTATGCAATGACTGCCACTCTGGCAACCTTATGTTTATCCAGGATCACAGCATGCCATCTGCTTCTCGAGGTCCTCAGTCTCCTTTTCCGGAGTGTGCTTTGCATAGTAGAGGTTTATACTTCTCTGTGTAGGGTGATTCCCAAGTATTAAGTGCTATATTTTCCTTGGTGCTTTCTTTTTTTTTTTTCCTGAAGCGGGGATCAGGGGATCAGGCCAGGGAAGTGCTTTTTCTCCTGAGCCATCTCCCCAGACCCTCTACTGATTATTGTATTTTGATTTTGGATCATCCTATAGTAGTAAATCTGGTTATTAAACTTAGGAATCTGTCAGCCCTACCCCAGGTCATGCTGAGACAAAGTGACATGGTGTGGTGCCCATGCCTGTAATCCCAGTGCTTGGGAGACTAAAAAAAGGAGGATCACTACGAGTCCAATCTGTGTAGTGAAACCCTGTACTTAAAAAAAAGAAAAATTCAGGAGTCTGATTTTTTATAGGTCTGCCATGTAACGGCACAGATAATACCCTAATAATCTGACTCATTCCTTTTGTATCCGTATCCATCTACATTTTTTCCCTTTCATAATTGCTGTGGCTAAATTAAAATAGTTTAAATTAGTATATTAAAATGAGC